ACATATCGCATACAGTAAAAATCAGATGTGCGCATGCGCAAACTACACAATGTCAACTTGCCTTATTTATCAAGATATTTCTTTGAAATTTTAACCACACATGCTTCTAGTAAAGACAATCACATCGCATACTGTAAAAATCAGACGTACGGACGACGCAACTTTCTTATCTATAGATATGTTTTGAAATTTTAACCAAAGATTCTTCTAGTAAAGGCCAACAACTCGCATGCTTTAAGACAGTGTTTCTCAACCTTTTTTCACTGGTAGCCTACTTGTGAATGTTATTTATCTCTGTGTCTCCCCTCCGCGTTAGACCGAAGCAGTCTGAGGGGTATGGAATTCATGGAGAGGGGGGGGGGGGGGTTTTTTTTAAATTTTTTTAGACTCATTTACGTCTTTCGCAGATTCCACAAAAATGTATAGAATATAGGCCATTAAATGTGGCATTTCAATATTTTAAACACTTTAGAATTAGATCAAAATTAATTTGAGTTATTTTGTTATCAAGAAACCATTTTCAAGCTCATTTTTTTTAAAATGCGCCTGAATGTTGTAAAAAACTATTCTTTACAGAAAACTAATTCTGGTAGGCGATAGAGGTGTATTAGTCGTGTTAGAAAAAATAACAAACATTTTCCAGTATCGCGTCTATCAATTACATTGTGCATTTGCCATTTATAAACATTTAATTTTAAAGTGATTAGGATTTTCTGATTTCTGCCCCTTAGATAACACAAACAAGGATAAGGGGTTATTGTGGTATAATTTTTGTTTTATTTAGAAGAATATTTAAATCATAACTATTTTCCTTTGTACACATAATAAGTAGTCCGTTATAGTTAAGTGGCCAAATCGAAAAACGACTCTGTTTCTTAGTTCTAACGGCATTTTATGAGCCATTTTGGCCACATGGTTTTTTAGATGTAAAAAAATGTGCTGAATCCGATTCTGGATGTTGCCAGGCCGAATTTTGCACTAGGTCACAAATACAGCGCGATGGCGCCACTATCTATTGTATTATATACTATTTAGTATTAAATTGTTTTCCATAATTTATTTACTTATATACTTATACGTAAGTGTTGGTTAATTAACTTCATAGCTAGTTCGGAAAATGTAGGAAAATATATCCTGTGGTGATATATAGGGTGTCCCAAAAAAAGCTGTGAATTAATTAAGTTAGTGTTTTACATTTTCCTCGGCAAATTTTGTTTGTTATTAAATTTTGTGCTTTTTAATAACCGTTGGTATTTAGGTTTTTTCCAACTATATATATAAATATATATAAATAAAAATTGCGTATTTTTTCCAATGAATTCAAGTCTGCATTTAAAAAAACAAAACCACATCGCATTTTTCAGATGATAACAAAAATGTGACTTTGATATGGAACACCCTGTGTATTATTACATAATATGACAGGTTATTAAATTGTTTATAAAACACTATAGCAAAAATATTTTAAATAACCAACATTTTCAAATTATTGACGATCTCCTAGGACGTAGAGAGTTTATAATTTTGCGGTGCCTGTCCATCTGTCCCGAGATCTGTTCATTTTGCATTTGGATTCTTTATCAGAGTTATAAATCAGAGTTCGTGAATCGGCAATGTACGTAAAAAATAAAGAAGCCCCTTTTGACATCTCCGTTAGTTATAAACCGAATTGCATGAAATTCAATATGGGCATAGTCGAGGGCATAGTTTTAGCCATATAATACGCAATGCTAAAAGTTGGGCCTAATCAATTCTACATTGACAGTGCCCTTTTTGAATTGCAAACTTTTTTATTTATGAAAGTATTTAAATAAAATTTGATACATAGGCACTTGGAATAAAAGCAAATCTAACACCAGGTTCAAAATTTGGTTTTTCACATGCTATAGCCTAGCCACTACCTATAGTAGTATCTCGAGTAGTATTAAATGGCATTAAATGTAAATTAATTACAATAACTTAGCATTAACCACATTAAATTACATTAACTGAATTAACTTGAAATTAACTGCATTTACAGAACATTAACTACATTAAAAGTTAATTTTAATTCATTAATTACTATTGGTACACCGAATTAACTAGGTGGTTTACCCCTCGATTCCCACCGACACAATGCAGCGGCGCCATTTGCTACACTCAAATTGTTTATTTACCGCCCGCCAAGATACAGACTTTATTTACAAAAAATATGATTTCATTTTTTGGGGTAATGTTCAGAAGTAACTTATCTAGAAAACTGTCGGTTTACTTTTTCCATAAATCGTCTTGATCGGGAGTAAAACAATAAAACAGGTTAGCGCAATAATCGCTGCAAAATATCTAGGTAATCTTTAAACAGCCGGTATTCAGTTGCTATAAACCTTTTTAAAAAAATATTCCGAACATTTTGTAGATAAAGGTCTAAATTTACAAAATATAAAATTTATATATTAGTAATATAAAATTTTATTTTTCAAAAACAACTTGAGTCTTTTAGGCGGACGCTCTTATGGAAATTTACATTGGGTGCAGTGGGTACAGAAGGGCGTAGAGTTGCATCTTCTCATGATGCTGTTGCCGAGAACATTTTGTACCATACATATTGTCTCGCAAATGCGATAAGAGACACTGAAAAATCAAATGGTCAGACTATAGTCCTCCTAAAAACTTGGCTTCAAATAAATTATGCTATGAACTAAAAGTGCACAAATATCTCCAAGTGTCTTGGCGACTGCTTCAATCGTAAAAAAAATGAGCAGAATGATGAAGAAATTCCGTTAAAATTTTTGAACGAAATATAGGTAATACCTATGGTAATACATTTGCTCTCAGAATTATCTCTATGTTGTTATCGTGTTGGCTGTATAATGTACCCAATATATAAGTTTTGCAATTTTCTGTGCCTCCTGTATGTTTTTTTAACACCTCAATCCAAAAAACTATGTAAAATGCGTCTGGCATAAAAATTTATATATTTGGCCGCCATTTTGAAATTAGCCAAAAATCAGCTTGGCAACATCCGAATTCGGGTTCAGCAGACATTTTTACCCTTATAAATGGACGTTTCCAAAGTGGCTCATAAATGCCGTTAGACTTGCGATTTATTAACTATGGCCACCCAACTATTACATGACCTTTCGGAAAGTACTGATCAATTCATGGAAACATACAGTACCTCGCAAAAAAGAGGGAAAATTTTCATTAGTTCGCTTTCCGGGTCCATTAACCACATTGTGCTTTTGTAGAAAAGAAAGCTCAGAGAGGCTGGATAGTGTCGGGCGCAACCAGAGTGGAGAGCCGAGAACGGTCGCGACAGGATGTACCATGTCATTTATACGTGCACAAGACAACACAAATACAGAGGGTGGAGAACTAGCGCTACTAAAATGTTCTCTCGAGTATCCCAGTCCCCTTCAAAACATCGGTTCCAAGGCTGAAGAGTGGCCTTCAGACTCGCGCCTTGATCGATCCATGTGTAAGGCCCGCGAACGGAATAACAAGCTAAAAAACCAAATCGGATAATCCAAGCACGGCCACGGTCATCCCAGCACAGATTTCCCGGCGACCATTTACTTTCCGGCTTGGGTTACCCCGGCGATCTAAACCCGGTTATGGGTCTTGGGCAATCCCGGCTTCGGTCGTCCCGGCAATTTGAACTTTGCGTTCGGGAGGATGGAAAACGTTTAAGACGCGGTAAACATATGAAGTAAATTCATATTTATTCTATTGAAACAATTCACCGGAATTAAGTTCTCTTATTTGGTACTGTATAGAGTGTGAGTATCAAATTGAAATTATGCCATTTATAGTTTTCTGGTATATACCTGTAAACGGTAAAACGCAATTTTAAAACAAATCCGTCCTTTGCAACGCTGGCAATTGTGTAAACTTATTTGAGCTTCTTTGGATATTTCAACCATAACAACCTCTATCGGTACCTAATTTGACAACCGCTTCTAAAGTATATTATTGTTTATGTCAAAAAAATAAAAATAAAAATGGGGTTGGAGAGACGACCGACGCGACGTTAGGAAAGTGTGCATTGCCGGGAAAGTAATAGTCGCCGGAATAGGTCGTCGCCGGGTATAAATCGCCGAGATAGTAATAGTCGCCGGGAAAACGGTGCCGGGGGTGTAAGTCGCCGGGTTGGGATGCACCGATCCAAGCAATACCTCTGTCTCAAACTTTCCTTCACCTATCTCCTTCACAACCATTTAAAATGGACCCGAATCGAAAATCATACAACAAATCAAATAAAATTTAACACCACACCGTTACCGTCAATATTTCGGAAGTGGAATTGTACACTATAAAGCGTAGGAAATATACAATATTGCGATTGGGGTAGGTACTCCAACTTGAAGGACTCTTATTATTTTGGCGAAATCAAAATCATACTTTCCCAGCGGCATATTTAATGAAGGTGCGGCAATATACTCCACCCGGTACACCATAAAATTGATTGTTACAGAAACAATTTGTATTACGTCGTCACGACGCCTTTGTTTCTCTGTGAAATCGTAAATGAATTCTAATTTCGTGTTACTTTAACGCTTGTACATTTTGTAAACTGCATTTTGTCCTACTCATAAATTCTTCGGCGCCATTGTCTTGAGTTAGAGAATCTGAAGTACACGAATATAACAATGACATATTTGTATTGTATTTTAATTTCGTATATGACACAATCTCTGGTTTATAACCAGGTATTAATAGTAAGTGGAAAGGCGGTGAGAAATTAATACTATTGTCTTATGACGAACGGAAATTATGCCATTAAACCCCTGTTTTACAATAAACAAACGAAATCGCGCCCGTTTGCTTATCAATTGTGGCCCGTTCCCGCTTTGCGAAATAATCGCGATAAATCTCACCTGCATCGGTGCTAATGCAATATGCATTTATTATAATAACCGAGGTATTTTTAACGGAACTTCCAATTACTAATAACTGGTCTGTACCTACTTCTTCTTTTCGACTCGTTCGCAATTAATCATACCATTTTCTTTTCGTTTCAGGTCGGTCAACGGATCGCCTTATTTCCGGAAATGCACCGTCCAAAATTACGCTCGAAAGTTCCGTCGATGAGGGCAATAAATACCTATAACAGCATTTCGACTGATAATTTAAGTGGATATGACAATTTAACGTATACCCCGGACGAAATGTCGTTAGAGTACAAATTGCCGTTGACGCCCGCCAGTGTTTCCCATATGTACGATTATCCTGGCACGTTAAGTGGAAGTTCTACTGCTGGCGCCAGTACGTATACGGAAAACACGTTAGAAAATAGGAAACGAACTATTGCACTTAGTAATGAGGCGTACGACTATCCTTCGCTGCACTCGTCGACTTCCTTGACGGGGGAAAATCATGGAGAAATGGAATCGAAAACGGAAGGTTCCAGATCGAAATTGATTTCTTCAAACACATCCGGGGTAAGTTTTTTATGAATTTTTTGCAATTATTGATGTAGTTTATATTGAATGTCTGTTTTTACAAACAAACCAAAATCTTAAAATTTATGTTTAACTCAGAAGACTTTCGTTACTTAGTGTTTAAATGGAGAAATTTGCCCTTCTTCTAACTGAGTTCATACACGAATATTTTATACAGTGGAAAATTCTTTTTAAAAGTTTCAAACCGGTTAAAAAAATGAATAGACCCGAGTCTTTAAGATTGTTTCTTACTGTTTAACTGAAACGATCTGTATTCAATACAAATAGAAAATTATACTTTACTTTTGTTGAATCTCGGAAGGAGATTCAGAAGATTTTGGGTATATGCGAGAATAGGCCGTCACTCGTACCAATATTTTAAATTGTTCCTCACACCCTCGGAGAGTAATTGAACAACATGGCTTTCATTGAAAGACGAATTTATTTACAATATTTACAAGTTTATATACATTTCTTATTATGACGTGAGTTTGTCCTAGTTCTGATTAAAGTGTTGCGATGATCCTACGAGTCCCACGAGCCACCACTGCAATCGTGGCTTACCCTATACTACAAAGCCATGTAACTTTCAAGTCGAAACTGCACTGTTGAAATTGAAAATTGAATGAAATGTAGAATTTTGTGCGTAACAAAAGACAAGAACAAATAAAATATTACGCACGCAACAAGGCGTTACCAAAGAAACCTTCTTCGGGACAAATATCCCAGCGTAGCTCACAAAACATCTCAAATTGTACGATAAAAATCAAATAGTTGAATCAAGTGCAGTCAAATAAATTCATAAAAACAAAACACAAGAAACATCATAAGTGCAAGTGGCAAACATGATAGTCACTTTAGTAAAAAAATACATGTACGATAAATTGAGATAAAACAACTCGGAAAATGATAAATTGCATGTACATAAAAAACATCAAAATGTCGTGGCTCTACTCCAGCCTCGGATACCATAATTTAAGATGAAAAGTACATGTGAGAATACCAATAGTAAGTATTCATGTTAGTCTATTATTCTACGAGCCAAACAAAATTAAGTAATAGAAGAAAGAGGTAGAGGGGAAGACGCAAGACCTGCGGCCTGTCCGAGATTTAAGAAGCAACATAATAGAGCGAGTAATCAAACTGTATGAGGTACTTTCTTCACGAAAGATAGATAACTCACGCAGAAAGACATCAAATTAGAGGGCCCACCTTTCCCGCATATGCTAAGACGCAAGAGCTGCGGTCTTCACGAGAACGAAAGTCACAAGATACAGCGAAAGATCGGACTGTATTAGGTACTTCTTCCACGGAATAGTTAAATCGAATCGTACAGAGCAACATGAGACTGATAATAAACTTCCTTGTGAATACATAAACAAATACTTAATAAAAGAATCACATGCACAGTATAACAAGCATACAAACATGATTTAGTAACGAGACATAAACAAAACATTGAGGTATGCTACGTTGCAAATATCAACATTTTATGCGTACTGTAAATAATAACAAATTAGGACTTGAAATTCAATGGTTAATATGTAGTTAGTACAAAAAAGAATACAATGATTACTACCTGTAAATACACTTTTCATACAAAACAAACAAAATAAATATTGAAAGAACCCGGGAATGCTATCGCTGCATCGGATTCGACTACCCTTAACCGACGCTAACTTTCTCCCCAAGCTTCGTAGATCCCCAGCATCTTTGCAGAACGGTCAATTTCGGAAAATTTCATGGTTGTTGTATAAGTACACACAGCGTTTCGTATTTTTTTTCCATACTGGCATTCTTTCAATTGTAAAAGGGGTTGCCTAACCGTAGGGGTATGTTACCACAGTGTTTATTTTCTTACCGATTTCATTTCACTTGCGGTTACCTGCACAACGCCCTCCGAAAACCTCTCTTAATCCCGACTTTTTTTAATTTTACCACCACGCGTTCAAAATGATTGCTAATCGGTTTCAGCAGTTATATTTATTCGTTCAATTAATAGACTTCATGTTCTTTTACCAATGCCACGTTTAGAACCGCATTTAATCAGAACCCACAGCATTTTTTTCCAATTTCTGCCAGAATCCTCAATTTAGCGGTTCCCATGCGGCGATACGAAACGGACCCAATCAACAGAATCGGACAGGATTAAGAGAATTACGGTACACGGTAGCGATTGCCCGAACGGGAACGCAAGCAACAAATCATAAATTAATTAGCGGTAGCTACGGGAAATCAAATGCAGGACAGCACAACGGTTATTTTCCTTAGGTTGAATTGATTCTAGTTTATCCAACGCTTTTTTGTCAGCACCTATCGATGCCTAACTGGCGATGCTTATTTGATTAATAGGTATATTCGATGACCTCAAAGTCACGTTGCTTTTTCGGGAGACTCTTGTAACGATCGTTTGCTTTGCAGTTTTAATTTTTCGAATTCATATTTCACTTAAGCATTGGACGATTTACAAATGTACCGCTTCATACGAACGGTGGGCGCGATTTAGGTATAGCGATAGAACGAGTAGGCTGTTACCTCGATAACCATGGACAGTCCAGTTTCTTTGGTTTCGTCTAGAGTAGCTGAGGTAAAGAAAATGTAGGAATATTATTGGCTAAGAGGGTTCGCCGCACGAGGTTGTTTTGTTGGGTCCGTCAGGTATGCAAGCCGAGGTTACGTAAATATTGACGACGGGGAAAAAAAGAGTGGAGTTCCAGCTTAACTTCGGTCGCAATAGCGTGCGAGTGAGCTTTTCAATTTTCACGGTCGCCTAATTTCAATCGCGCGGTTGTGAGAGAGGGGTAGCACCGCGAAGTTTATATTGCAAGATTAGCGTCGCTTAATCGCTTACGTTACTCGTTTCCAAGTGCCTATGTGCAAGAGACTGATAGACGCAAGTAAAAAGAATTCGAAGGTGAAAAATCTTCCATGCAAAGTTTGGTATTGGTATAATTGGAGTGGGGTCATATTTTACACCCGTGTATAAACTTCGATATTTATTCTGCTTGCTATAAGTTCGACGAAAATGGCATGCTGCTTTTTAACAGACACACTCATTATTGATGGTTGAATGACGACATCTTGTATTTTTCCTCGATTGTTGTTGGATGAATACGCATATGCAAGCTGTTTCTAACTTCGACGGCACCGCACTCAACAAGTCACACATATACAGGGACAGGCGAAATAGTTATATACAGGGCGTGCTAAGGATAATTTCTTTGAAGGAATTTTAAAGTTGGTCTAAATTTTGGGTTAGGAACAAGATATCGAGATGCGGTTTTCGCGAGCTTGTTTAAGCATCATTTAGCTACTTTTTCATGAACAAAAAATCATACCGATGCATTTAATTTTTGTGAGAAAATTAGTCAAATGCCGAAATGTTAAAAAACGCCCTCAAGTGGCGACATGTAAAACTAACAAAACTTCAAATATAAATCAAATATAAATAGCCCAAGTTTGTTAAAATCGGCTCAGCTGTTTCGAAGATACGGGGTGTTTTTTTTTATTTTTAGAGATACAGCAAAAATGTCAAACAAAAAAGGTGCAGATTATCCTCGACTTTAAAGACCAGGGATTTTTTGTTAGGTTAATATAGCGAAATTCACAGAAACGTCACTTTTTTTAGATTCAAGATTGCATGCCCCCTAGCGGCCATTTCAGAAATTTGAAAATATTTCCCAGGTTTTTCTCTAGGCCGCTTTAGTAACAGGCGCAGTCTTCTATGATGAATACGTTACCACTAAATTGGTCAAATAGTCTAGGAGCGGCGAAACCTACACGTTGGCAAAGAATCACATTGTAACTCATTAATCCTCCACGCACTACGTTGATTAATAAAAAGCAATATTGGCATATGTTTCTAATTCAAACTCTCTCTCTATCTTTATTTGGATAGATCTCGAAATATGATAATGAGTTAGTATGAGTGTACTAATGGGTTTATGCAATTCGCACTCGAGCTCGGTAATGATTTAATATTGAAATCATAGTACATAACGGATGGATATAATGCATTCAATAATCTCTTCGCTTACCGTTAGCACTGTATCTAGTAAAATGTAAAGAGCATCCCGATGAGATTCTGCTATTGCATTGCAGTAGAGACCATTAATTAACAAAACGACCGCGATGGCGCATTTTTAATTCGTCAAGCAATAACACTAAAAAGGTTAAAGTGTCTTGCGCCAATTCAGGCAGAGTGTCGCCAATTTTATGTACAATTAACCACAATTATATAGCCGTTTAAGTGATTGCATCTCAGTCAGTACACCATGTCGTCATTTTTACTATTTAAAGGATGTTAAATTTTGCAGAAAATGCGCTAATGGCGTTTTATGGCGGTATAGAAAATTTGAAATTAATAAACTGTTTGGCATAGTAACCTCGTTAATGAGTTAGGCATTAAGCATTAACCTTTAATATTCAATTATGTTAAGTGGTATAAATAACAATTTATTGCTAGCAATAACTTTCAGTATTTTTAAGCCGTTCGTTAACATAATGGAAAAATAGACTAAATATTTGCATTTAATATTAAATTACCACCTCTATCGAACGTTGCCAGAGTAACATTACCAAATACAGGTACAGCTCTTGGTCTTACTAGAGGGCAGGTTTTTTTTCGAAATTTTGTTGTTTAAATTTGTGAGCTAACATGTATTTGAGGGTAAATACTTGACGACCACAGGAAGTCGCGAGATAAGGCGAAATTAATGGGGAATACGTGACGATTCCGCTGAATCATCAAAACTTAAATCAAAACCGAAATGGATTAGGTCTATTAGCTGGTAAAATTACCGGGGGACGGGGGGTTGGATTGTGACATAATTTACGTGAACAGTATCACCAAAGGATTGCGCCTTAAAGTGCTCACAATCAGTTTTTGTGACTGTCTCTTTCGAAATTTAAATTGCGAAAGTAGAAACCAGAAGTTGTAAATTTTGGATTTCCAGGGATTTTATTGGTTGAGACAAATATCAGTTCTATTGATGGGACAT